CGAGGACGCAGGTTTCGGGGACGCGGCGAAGAGCGGATGGCGCATGCGCTTGCGTCCTCAGCACGGCGCTTTCCGCAAGCCCGGGTTCCGCCCCTCCGCTTTGGTGGACCGCTAGGCTGCGGGGCCTTGGAGGGGCTCCAGCGTCCGGGCTTGGCGGACCGATCAGACCCTGGCCGCTCCGGCTGGCCCCGGGACCTCCGTGCCCTCCCGGTGTGGTCCCCTGACTTCGCGCCAGAGAGGCGGAACTGGACCACAGAGTGAATCGGGAGCACGGACCCTGCGCACCGCCAGGACCGCCCACTCAGCGAGCTTCCAGGGCGGCTTCCGCGTGGCTGCAGGCGAGGGGTGGTGCGGGCCACCCGGCAGGGGCCACCTCCTGAAACGGGGACACCTCCGCGGTGCTGGGTTCCGTTGGAGAGTCCAGGTTGCCTGGGGCAAGGCTGCATCTGATGCAGTTTTCCTTGCCGTGTAGTTGACCCCGATGTCCGTGGGGTGGCCGGCACGGATGCTGCATCCTTTACACCCTGGGCTGGAGAGAATGGGGAGGGGGGTTTCCCGCACCTGCCGCCACCGGGACTGTTCCTCCATTCAGGAAAGCGTCTTGACTGGCACCAGCCAGAGCAGCTGGGTCCAGGGCACCGGCGCCTCCCGGCCACGCACCACCTCTGCTGCCCCTGCCTCTGCCCTGTAGCCTCTGCCTCCTGTCCAGCCCAGTGACAGCGGAGGCCCCAGCCCCCCCGCCCTGCAGGAGCAGCTTCCCCACCTCCCTGAGCAGCACCCTCAGAGCTGACTTCAGGGTAACAGCTGGACTCCTTGCATGGTGGGCTGCTGTGAGGAGTGATGGGCTGGGACCTGCAAGGGTCCCTGGTGGGGGCCAGAGGTCTCGGGTGGGAACTCCCCCTTGGGGTGTCTGGCTGCACCTGGCGTACCCTTCTCTGTCCTGCTGTGCCACACCGCCTCCCAAGGCCTTGCTCGGGGCCAGGTCGGAGTCCTGACCGGCACAGGGGCTGGCGCCTGGACAAGGCATCCGCGATAGCCAGTGCCTGCTGGTCAGCTGCCGGGCCTCGTCATGGTGAGTGGCAGGGGAGGTGCAGGGTGGCAGGAGTGCCCTTGAAGCTGGGTTTGGCCGTGGTGGAAGACTACAAGCCACAGGAACACCGCAACTGTGGAGCTTGTTCGCTTGTTCCCCATCTCTAAGCTCCCTCCTGCTGCCATCCAGGGGTAGGTGAGAGGGGCCTCCGCCCTGCGGGGCTGGCCCAGGCTTCAGGGCCTCCAGCCTCCCGCAGCCCTGTCTCCTTTCCTTGAGTCTCTCCTGGATGCTTTTGTACTGGCTACTGTTCTCTCTGGCTGAAATGCGAGAGCTCCTCTCTGCCCATCAAACTCCTAAGCACTGACTTAACTCCTGGCCCTATGACATGTCAGTGGCACTGCCTGCACGCTGCTGTTTTCTTGAGAACGTGCCCACACAGTGTTGTCTCGAGTGTCCTTTGGTAGCGCAGGTGACTTGCAGGCACACCTCAGCAGGGGACTGGGCTTTGGGAGACATGCGCCCCTCCTCACTGTGTAGGGGTGGGAGCTGCCCAGAGCCAGCTGTGTGCCCAGCAGGGCTTAGGACAGGGCTGGGCTAGGTGGGGTGTGGAGACTCAGAGTTCAGGAAGCAGAGGACTGTGAGGGACAGCCCCAAACTGGTCTGGGTCAGGAAGGTACCATCACTGGGGCAGAATGGCTCAATAGCATTGGGAATGCCCAGCCACTGCCCACTGCCCCTCCTAAGCTGGCAGGGCCTGGCCAAGGAGTCCCATATGTGTGTGGGTAGATGATGGCAGTTGTTGCCTGAAAGCAGTAGTGGGAAGAGGCTGCCATGGACCTAGGATGTCAGGAGGACCCCAAGGAAGGGGTCAGTGAGTGTCCACGTCCTGTGGGGTGGAGGGTGATAGGAAGCAAGCCCAGCTTACCTCTGGCCCCTGTGCCAAGCAGGGGCAGGTTTGAAGAAGGCCAGATCAGTGCTGCCTGCCCACCACAGGGTGCACATGCCCGCTGGGACAGGGCCTCTGCCCTTGCTGGCCTGCAGTGGGCAAGGTAGCCCTTGTTCTCTTCCATCGTCATGACATGAGGGGACTGGCCAGTGAAGTGCCGGGCCCGGGAGCTCTGCATTCTCCCTGGAGTCTGGTGTCAGACGCAGCAGCTGGGTGCAGGTCCACATCTACCCTCTTCTGGGCCTTGGGCACTGGGCCCTGGGCCTGGAGGGTTCCATTGCCTCCCCTACCCACACCTCAGAGGGCAGGGGTAATGGGGTGATCCACAGCCACACCAAGAACGCATCCTAAGGTGGGGTCCCCAGAGGAGCTGTATGCTCTTGGCAGGAGGGAAGGGGTGTGAGAGGAAAACAGTGTGCCCCAGCCGCTGCCATGCTTCCGGAAGATGTGTCACTGGCTCGCATGAGGACAGGTGGACCTAAGAGGCTGGCACTGGTGCAGCAAAGGCTGAGGGCTGGGGGCTCAGGGCACAAGGGCAGCCCGGTGGGGACATAGCGTGGGGCTCAGTGTGGGGCAGGGTCCCCATCTGACACTGTCCAGAACACAGATGCCATTGTCCCTCACATTATGCTGCCTGTCTCTGTTAGGTTTGGTAGCACATTTGTGCTTTTTAACATTTTTCCTGTTATTTGCTTATGTCTTAAAAGTCGTTCTGTAATAAAAATAATTTAAACCAGACCTGGTGTCCCCCCATTTTTCTTTTGGAAAGGTCCCTGTAGTACTCAAGTCTGGGCCTCGGGGATGCAGGCGGCAGGTTCTGACATTCCCGTGGAAGCGGCATCAGGAGCCGAACCCAGTGAGAACTTAAATGAAGTGGGCTGGGGATAGAGCTCAGTGGCAGCGGCACAGCACCTGCCTGGCAAGTGTAAGGTCCTGAGTTCAGTTCTTGGTACAAAAAAAAAAAAAAAAGAAGAAACAAGATGATTACAAAAAGGCCAGTCTCAGACCGTTATCTCCATGGAGGAGTCCTGGGTAATCATGACTATGGAGGAACAAGAAAACAGCCTGTTGCTAGACACAGGTGCAAGTCTCTCGGTCCTTCTTTTCAATCCTGGCCTTCCTTCCAGCCATCATACCTCAGTGAAAGGAGTCACTGGTGAGGAGGTAATATGCTATTTTTGACAACCCTTAGGCTGTAACTACTTACTAGATCCTTCTTGCATATCTCTGTCTTCCTGAGAAACCACTTTGAAGATACCACCATGTATTACAGCAGCCATTGATATTTTCCTAATCTATCCATAACTGTGTAAAGTTTGTAATGTTCCTATCCTATTTCATAAATGGATGTATGTTTATTGTTATGTGTTTCCTACAACAACCATTGAGAATAGTTAATGATTTTTCAATAGGTCACTCATGTATAGCTCTATTTATTTTCTTTAGAAGCCACTTTGAAGATACCAAAGTATAGCACAACAACTCTTGATAATCTCCTACCTCTTTTGTCTCTAACTCACTATTATTTGTCTATTTGTTTTCCTGAGAAACTATTTTGTAGATAATAACATGTAAAATGATAACCATTGATAATTTCCTACCATTTTGTCTGTAATTTGCTAAGTCCCCCCATTATTATGTTATCCTTCTTTTACTCTTTAAAATAAAATTTTTTAAAAAAAAGAAAGTTAAAAAAACAAAAAAAAAAGGCCAGTCAGTGACAGTGATGGTGACACACGGCAGGTATGGTTGCAGGCTCGGCGCGTGCTGTGCAGAGACGCAATGCCAGAGAAGACGGGGTCACCATGCAGGGTCGCAGGGGCCATGGGGTCTCCTGAGGGGGAGGAGACGTCATGCTGCACTTGGAACCGCAGTGCCTGGGGATTGGGCCAGGGCGAGTCCTCAGCGGCTGCTGGACCAGAGTGTGGCAGAATGGCCTCCTAATCACGGTTCCAGATGCCCAGGGACGGAGTGCAGCCTCTGCTCCAGAAGCCGTGAAATGAGTGTCCAGTGCTCTGAGTGGCAAAAGCTTCAGATACGGAATACATAGAAGTTGCTCAGGCGAGGCGAAGGCTTTCCAGCCTGCAGACACAGGAGCTCCGGCACAGAGGAGGAAGAGCACAAGACTAACAGTGAACCCCACGTGGTGAGAGGAGGTGCGGTGGAGCCACCAAGCTGGCCACAGCTCATTAGCAGAATCTGGGGCACTCACAGGCCGCCCCTGTGCAGCACACTTGCCGTGGAGAGACAGCGGTGCCACTGGGCTCACCCCAAAAGGAGAGTGGGATCTCAGGGATGTTGTACACCTGTGTTCACAAGAGCCCAGGGACACCAGCACTCGAGAGGCTAAGGCAGGAGGATCATTGCGAGTTTGAGACCAGCCTGGGCTACAAGGTGAGCTCACGTCCAGCCTGAACTGCATAGCGAGACCCTGTCTCAAAAAAAGAGAGGAAAAAAAAACAAAAACCCAGGGACAGAAGCAATGGAAGCAATGTACACATCCACAGACAAATATGGGGGCACACAAAATGTGGTCCATCCAGTCTAATGTTACTCAGCTCAAAAATCATGACTCATTGCCGAGTGAGTGGCACATGCCTGTCATCCCGCCACTGTGGGAGGCCGAGACAGGAGAATCACAAGCTTGAGGCCAGTGTGAAAACTTAGCAAGAACCCCATCTACATGCACAAAGGGCTAAGGGTTTACCTCAGGGTGAAGGGCCTGGGTTCAACCCTCCCCCAGTACCCAAAGAAGAAAAAAAAAAAGAAACCCAATATGTTACATGGGTGATGCTTGAGGACATTGTACCCTGGTCATCCTTGAGACAGGAGGTAGGATGGTGGGTCCCAGGGGCTGGGAACAGAGCTTGAGTTGAGGAGATGGAAAGTTCTAGAGATGGACAGTGGCGCTGGCTGCACACAGTGTGGACAGGCTTAGAGATCATTTTTGGTGTTTTGTTTTTCTGAGATAGGGCCAGTCCGGGCTGGCCTTAAACTCACGGCAACCCTCCTGTGTCAGCCTCTTGAGTGCTGGGATGACAGGTGTGTGCCACCAGGCCCAGCTGATAATTCATAGAGAAAAGGTTCATGTTGGCCCATGGTTTCAGAGACTGTGAGCTCGTGGTGGGCAGGGCAGTGTCATAGCAGGTGCCCATGGGGGAGCAAAACTGCTCACTTCATTCCAGAAGCAAGAGAGCCAGGAGAGGCCAAGGTCCCACAGCCCCCCTCCAGAGCATGCCCCTAACTGGATGCCCACACCTGTAGTCCCAGCACTCGGGAGGCCTGAGGCAGGAGTATTGCCAGTCTGAAGCAGCCTGGACAACTTAGGGAGACCCTGTCTCAAAGCAACAACTAAAAAAGGGGGCTAGAGATGCAGTTCAGTGTAGAGGCCCTGGGTTAACTCCCTGGGCAGAGGGATCACAACCCTGGTGACCTGTGGACCTCCCACTATGGTCCCCCTTAAAGTTTCTACAAATTACAAACAGTGCTAAGCTGGGGACCAGCTCTTGAACACATAGACTTTAGGAGGACAGTCCAGGTCCACCTTAGCACCTATCACAAGCATTTTTGTCCATTTCCTCCCTGGAGATGCAGACATTTTAAAACCACCTTAGTAGACATTTTTAAACCTCCTTAGTAGACATTTTAAAACCACCTTAGCAGCTGGGCGTGGTGGTGCACATCTATAATCCCAGGACTCAGGAGGCTGAGGCAGGAGGATTGCTGCAAATTCGAGGCCAGCTTGGGCTACAAAGTGAGTTCAAGGCCAGCCTGAACTGCATGATGAAACCCTATCTCAAAAATTTAAAACAAAAACAAAAACACCTTAGCATACAGTGATCCGGGCATGGTAGCACACACCTATAATCCCAGTACTCAAGAGGCTAAAGCAGGAGGATTGTTACAAGTTTGAGACCAGCCTGGGCTGCAAAGTGAGCTCAAGATCAGCCTGAACTACATAGCAAGACCATCTTAAAAAGACAAAAAAAAAAAAAAAAAAAAAAAAAAAAAGCATGCTGTGACTGTCTATGAGTGAAGAAACAGCAGCATGGGAGGAATATCACAGCTCAGAGGTCCACCCTTGGACTTGTAGCTTGGGATGGCAGACCTACCCACAGCCACCTGTCTGTTGAAATGAATGGCACTGCTTAAGTCATTTTGGTTTTTGAGACAAGGACTCACTATGTTTTAGGATGGCCTCAGGAGTGAACTCCTGCCTCAGCTTCTCATAGTGCTGAGACTACAACTGTCTATTTTGAGGTGCAAAGCACAGGATAGGTGTGAGGGAGAGAGGACTGGATGGTGGGAGGAGCGAGGTGCCTACCAGGCACAGAACAGCACTGCATCTGTGTGGCCCCCTCCCTCCCCCTCAACAGCCAGGCCCATGTTGTGCAGCCCAAGGTGGAGGCCTTCTGGCCTGAGAAGGCAAGTGAGGGGCAGCCTGGGTGAGGACTGCAGCCCACTCTGCGTGTTTTTACCCTGTGGCAGTACCCACTGCTGTGTAAGCCTGGGATGGGGCTGCTCCCCTGGCCAGGGGTCACTAGCTGGGTCAGGAAGGAAAGGCAGCTGTGTGCCTCCCGCCAGCTGGAAGGTGGCCTAGGGGAGGAAAGTAGCATGGGGGAGCTCCGCCCACAGCCTGGCACCCCTAGGGTGGGGCCGTGGGGCCAACGGTACAGCTTGAAGATGACTTCTGGGCCCAGCATGGCCTTGGTCTCCCGGACTGGACACCAGGTCGGAGTGGGCTGAGACAGCCATGGAAGAGGGCTAACCCTCCTAAGGCTCCTGTTCCCCTTGAAGGATGGGGCTCCAGAGGACCCAGAGCAGCTACCTGGCCTGTGCCATGCAGCCAGCAGCCAGCCTAGGCTTTGTCCTACAGGCCTGTTGTTCTGCTGGTTAGGACGCCAGGAGGGCCAGGGAAGGGCCTTGGGGAGGGCAGGCTCAGTGGGGCTGTGGGTAGATCCACCAGGGACCTGAGACTTCCTGCCTGTGAAGCCCAGGTGTGGATCTGTGTCCCCAGGTCCTAGCCAGAAGCTTCTGCCCCTCCCAGCCCACGCAGGTAAGGACACCAACCCAGGCTTTAGACAACAGAGTTTATTTCAGACTCAGACTCCGCCCAGGCCCAGAGTTCCTGTGGTGCTAGACAGGTGAGGACACTATTCCTGCAGTGGCTACCACCACTTTGGGAAGCCTGCCTGCTGCCACCATACCAGGGGCAGGCCAGCGCCAGGTGTGCGGAGGACTGTGCAGCGGTCTCCCTGCAGGCAGTGGGCAGTGGGTGACTGCCACCCACCAAGCAGTTCTACTCTACCTGTGTTATTGCATTTATACGCTTGTTAGATGGGGATGCTGGGTGCAGGCAGGGGGGACGCTTTGCTGGGGGCACTGGCAGGCACAGCTGGGAGGGGAGACCCTCCTTGGACCCCTGGCTTTCAGCATTCCCCAGCGAGTGCAGCATGGCCGTGGCCCTCGTCACATGGGCTCTGCTGGGGCACAAGCTGGAGAAGGGGAGCTTCCAGGAGCCCCTGCTAAGACCAGCCCCCACACCATCTTCGCCCCTGTCACAGCACACGCAACTGGTGGAGGCAGTGCTGCACATGGGCCACTCACCTCAGGGCAGTCCCCCGTATCAGGCCCAGAGGATTGGGGATATGAACCTACTGCCCACCCTGACACTGGTCCTTCGGAGACCAGGTAGCCACACACAGGACCTGTCCTGTCCTCCCTTGCTATCCCTGCTGCCTGCCTGCCCAGCTGGGCCCTCTGCCCTGCCCTGTCAGCCCAGAGCCCAGGCTCCTTGGAGCCTGGCAGGGACTATGCTGGGGTGAGCAGAGGTAGCTCACTGTCAGTCTCTCCCGCTGTGTACATGGGGGGGGGGGCATGTACATGTATATGTATATGATGTATGTGTGTAGATATAGATAAGTACTGTAGATTTGCATGCACTAGCTCCCACATCTGTACAGGAAGTGGCTCTGTGCCCCCCTGGACACCAATCATCCAGGAATCATTTTTTCCGGGCTAGGAAGGCCACACCAAGGATCAGGGCCACTGCTGCCACAGCCACACCCCCAGCAACCAACAGAGGCGTCAAGTTCTCGCAGGGCCAAGGACCTTGGCCCCCTGGGCCCCTGGTGGTGGACTCGTCCTCCTCCGCTCCATCCCCAGGACCCTTGGGCTCTGGGGTTGCATCGGGACTGCTGGGGACAGCAGGAGCTGAGGGGGCCGGCTTCAGGTTGCTGTGGTTGTTGAGAAGGGCAGGGTCAGCCTTGGCTGTGGTCTTCTTGGCAGAGGGAGTCGCTGCTGGCTGCTCCTGCTTCTCTGCTTGGGCCTCCTTTTTCCCAGCTTTGGTCAAGGGGGCTTTTCCATCGGCAGCCGGGGTGGCCTTGGCCTCAGCGGTGGCCTGAGGCACCTTGGTGTCTGGCTTGGGGCTGCTGGCTGACTTTGCCCTGGACTCCATGGTGGTGGTACTGGCGTCTGGGCAGGCGTGTGGGACAGGCAGGTGGCTTCACTGGTGTCTCAGGACAGCTTGCCCCTGGGCATCATACGGGCCTGGACGGGGATACAAGTGAGGATGTGGCAAAGGAGGAGGCCCCGTGCACCCTCCACACCCTGTCCCGTGCAGACCTTTCCCATTTCCTGGCCTCCCTAGGAGTCTGGCTTGAAGCTCCCTTACACCCCAACCTCCTCTTCAAGGTATGGCCTCTGTCAGCCTGACCACTCCCAGAGCAGCCCCTGCTGCTACAGAGGTAGGGGGCTGTGGACTGAACCCAGGTGGGCAGGGCCAGATGGGACCAGCCAGAGGCCTCTGCTTCTGCTCTCACCCTGTCCTGCCCACGGCCTGCAGTGTCCATTCCCTGAGGACTGGAATGCATGGTCAGAGGGTGATGGGGGCAAGCGGGCACGGTGGCACAGAGACAAAGCTTGTACCGACAGGCTCCCTGCTGTTTCTCAGGGGTGCTGAGCCGCCCTGGGCTGTGGCCTGGCCAAGGTCCCGATGGAGGAGGGGCAGGGCTGCGCTGGAACCCTGGCTCGGGGCTGGGAATGGGCCCATGGGCATTAGGACGAGGACCCTGGGATGAGGAAACTGAGGCGTCACCCTTAGGCAGAGAAGCAGGGCAGGCGGCCACAAGCCTGTGCCTCCTGCTCAGCCACCCACCCTCAGGTTTCTGGGGTCCGCACCCCCCAGCGCCTCACCTGCGTCCAGCCCAGTGGCAGGGTGTCCTTGCCGAGCCCACAGTTGGGCTTGCCTTGGGCACGGCCTAGGGTAGCACACAGGTGCCTTAGGGTCTTAGGGTCAGGGCAGAGGACGGGTGCTGAACTGAGGAAAAGACCTCCCCGACGCCCAGGTTCCAGATGGGGTGCAGCAAGGGCCTGGCCTGAGGACCACAGGCACGGGCAGGCGGGGCCTCCGGCAGGGTGAGAAATGCCCCCACCACAGAAAGAAGGAGCCCGCTGGAGGCTGCGGCCCAGGCACCGCACCGCGACAAGCGCAGTGACCACGGTGAAGGTCACCTGAAGGGCACGGCGTTTCGAGGGTGTCCCCAGAGGCCCGGCCGCTGCCCCGCTCCCTGAGGAGCCCCAGCCGCCCCGCACACCTGCGGCTCGGGAGGGCCCGGCCCCAGGTGGCGCGGGCGAGGGCAGCTCTGCCCCTCGTCTCCTCTGGCTCGCACCTGCGCCCT